ACATCCTTAGAGAAAAGGACATTTACATTTTCAAGTGGCTTCCTTGGGTCTTTTTTCTTGGCCAGCAAAATTGAGGATCATGAATGTAATGACACAGATCATGGACTTAGGGGCCCATAGAGGGTCCTAGAAAGAAAAAAAAAAAGTAAGTGACCAAGAAAAATAGACTTGGTGATCTATATATAGTTTCACTTGAGTCAGTAATATAACACTCAAGTAAGCTTCATACTTTTATTTGAAAATTTTAATTTGTTCATGTGAACTGTTAAATTATGTTGACATAATAGAAAAATCACAGCTGAAATGTGTAGGCCTACCTGGTCCTTTGTGAACTGTTTCATTACTTATTGTTGTTGATTTATTCATTTAAATTTTTTAAAAATATATTTTTATTGATTTCAGAGAGGAAGGGAAAGGGAAAGAGATAGACATCAATGATGAGAGAGAATCATTAATTGATTGTCTCCTACATGCCCCCTGCTGGGGATCGAGCCTGCAACCTGGGCATGTGCCCTTGACTGGACCCTCTATCCACTGAGCCAAACAAGGTACGGCTAAAGTTTTATTTGAAATTACAGTTTACAATCAATATTATTGTATATTAGTTTCAGGTGTTCAGCATAATGGTTAGACAATTCTATATTTTATAAAGTGTTCTTCCTGATATTTCAACGGTTCACTTGGCACCATACAGTTATTTTTATTTTATTTTATTTTATTTTATTTAAAAATATATATATTTTATTGATTTTTTACAGAGTGGAAGGGAGAGAGATAGAGAGCTAGAAATGTCGATGAGAGAGAAACATCGACCAGCTGCCTCCTGCACACCCCCTACTGGGGATATGGCCGCAACCAATGTACATGCCCTTGACCGGAATCGAACCTGGGACCCTCCAATCCGCAGACCGACGCTCTACCACTGAGCCAAACTGGCTTCGGCCATACACAGTTATTACAATATTATTGATTATATTGCCTATTCTGTACACTACTATTGGTTTTGTTTTGTTGTTTTTGTTTTTTAACTACTATTGGTTTTAAAGAGAAGATTGAAGGATAGGGAAGCAGCATGTAAAACAATAGGTATATATAATTTAACAATATAAATCAAGAGCCATAAAAATGTCCATACTCTAATGTAAAATTTCATTTGGGGATGAATTAACCTCAAATTAATTTAGAGTCTGAAAAAAATCTGTATACACAATATTCATTGCTATGGTATTGGGAGGGAGGGCAAAATTTGGAAGCAATAAGAATAAATTATTATGGTATAGTGGTGTAATGGCCTAATGGAAAGAATAAATTATTAAATTCCTGTTCAATAAACTATTGTGCACCGTTTAAATGAATGGTTATGAAGATTATATGGTAACACAGAAAATACTGAAAATGTTAGTCCTTAAGAGCTGGATTACATCACCCAAATGGAAAAGATAGAAAGGAAATATATCAAATGGTAACAGCTGTGTTTGGGTAATGGCATAATGGTATTTTTTTTTCTTCTCATTTCTGCTCCTGATTATTTTAATTAGTCTCCAACTTTATAAATTGGAAAATCAAGTAAAAGCACCATAATGCAAAAGCAGAATGAATAAGATGAGGCTATTTTAACGTTAGCGGTCCTCCTCATAGCTTCCTGAGGGTTTTCACATGGGACAAAAATCACCGACAGGATTGCAATCTGTGGGGCGTGTGCATTTGTTCTGAGAGCTGGTGGGTTGGGTGGAAAGACAGTGGGATAATAGCATGAGAAAACAGACCCTCCTACCCCCAGCTGCCAGTGATTCAACCCAGGGCTTCAAGAACCAATTTCTGTCCAACGGGTGGCTTTTCCCGGTGCCGGCCATTGTGATGGTGATGGCTGGGCTGTGGCCTGGCCTCCTCAGCAGGTCTCAGGGGATTCTGCATTTAATGGAGGAGCCCCAGCCCAGGCAGCTGTCTCCGACGTGGGTTGCTGGTCATCAGAGACACAGCGGCCTGTGAGGTGTTGACCCAGAGGTGAACAGTCCCCTCTCTCATACTCACTCCCCAGAGGCAACAGTCCCTCATTAGGGTACAGTTTCTAATCCAAACAACCATTAATCTTTCTCGGGGTTAAAAGGCCAGAAAAGCAATTATTTCTCGCTCCCTCTCTATTTTGATACTGTACCTGTCTAGATTTAACTTAGTTCACTGACCACTGAAAACACCCCACAGCTGTGTCCACAGCTACGCAAACAATGCCAAGCCCAACACAGCGCTCCCTGTGCACAGAGAAGGGACAGGAGTGCAAAACCAGTCAGCTATTTATTGTGGCACTTGACAAAAACTGTAGAAACATGACTCATTTGAGATAGGTTTGTATTTTGTATCATGAAATAAATTTGGATGTGCATGTATTTTAAGTGACAATGCCACCTTAGAGGGTAGTTGTTTTTAAAAAAAACAATATATATATAATTGATTTTTTTATAAAGAGGAAGGGAGAGGGATAAAGAGTTAGAAACATTGATGAGAGAGAGAAACATGGATCAGCTGCCTCCTGCACACTCCCTACTGGGGATATGCCTGCAACCAAGGTACATGCCCTTGACTGGAATCGAACCTGGGACCCTTGAGTCCTCAGGCCGACCCTCTATCCACTAAGCCAAACCAGGGCAAGGATAGTTTTATAAAAGTAATATTTCCCAAACTTTTGAATACTGTTCTTTAATGTTTCTTGCCCTTGCAAGTAAATTAATCTATATAAGTGGAGCTGTGAGACCTGAGGACTTTTTGATTTTTTAATAAAAAAAAAAAAAAAAAAAAAAAAAGGGAAGGATTTCATTTAGAAAAATTCACTCAATTATCTCAGAAACATCAAAGTATTCGGTTTATGGAAATGGGCTTAATCTCCTACATCACACTCTGTTAATAGCCGGTAAGTCAAGAAACATATCTTTTTCATATACTTAAATTGTGAAGACCAAAACTGATTGGTATTAAGATTAAAAAAAATATATGAAAGATTCCTAGGTCTGTTTCTTCATGCCTGACCTTTAAATCCTTCCTTTAGAGTCATCTCCAATATGGATAAAAAACACTCCTCCTGGTGAGTCACATTGAGACATCTGGCTGCCAGTAGTAAAGGCATGGAACACTTAAGAGATATAGAGAATGCATTTTTTATTTATTTATTTTAAAAATATATTTTATTGATTTTTTACAGAGAGGAAGGGAGAGAGAGAGAGAGAGCTAGAAACGTCAATGAGAGAGAAACATCAACCAGCTGCCTCTTGCACACCCCCTACCGGGGATGTGCCCCCAACCAAGGTACATGCCCTTGACCGGAATCGAACCTGGGACCTTTTAGTTTGCAGACCGACGCTCTACCACTGAGCCAAACTGGATTCGGCAGAGAATGAATTTTTTACATCTCAAATTATTTTATAATGAACATTATTTAAATGTTATTTTCAAAATCTCAAGGAAATAGAGATCTTCATGAAGATAAAATGGCTCTGGGAAGGTTGAATGGAACAATGATGCCCTGATGCAATTAAATAAGTAGACATTACTTAGGTGATTATTACTTTAATTCCATTTAAAACGTGAATAATTCCACATGTATACTGAGATCTAGACCCCAAAGCTTGAGCAGACAGACTTCAGTATGGGAATCATTTTGGGGGAAAATGAGCTACAGAAGTTTCTGCAGGTTGGGAATAATAGGGAAGCAGACCACAGGCTCCTTAGCTTCCATCTGCAAGGCTATCATTTGCAAACTACAAAGCTGATTGCTCTTGAATTAACTTATTCTGAGCACCAGGAACGTTTTTCCAAAGAGGTCATTACCACATAAAATTTTAGTGTTTTCTAATTTGAAAAGTTATGTGCACTGCTATGTTCATGGCAAGATTATTTACAATAGCTAAGATATGAAAACTCTTTTAAGTGTCCATTGACGGATGAATGGATAAAGAAGATTTGGTACGTATTTATAATGGAATACTACCGAGCCATAAAAAAGATGAAACATTGCCACTTGCAACAACATAAATGCAAAGTGAAATATATGTCAGCTGGATAAGAACAAAAAAACCATATGATTTCACTCATATGGTACTATAAAACAACAAACAAACAAACAAACAAACCAAAATAAAAAAAAACAAATTCATGGATACAGACTACAGATTGGTTGTTACTAGAGGGAAAAATGGAGGAGGGGAGGAGGGCAGAATTAAAGCGGATCAATTACCTGGTGACAGATGGAAACTAGACTTTGGGTAGCAAGCAAGCTATAGCGCACACAGATATTTAATTGTAACGCTGTGTACCGGAAACTTATATAATGTTATTGACCAATGCTACCTCAATTAAAAAAAAGTTAGTGTTTTTCTCAAAAGAACATTTTCTTTGACAGACATCAGTTTCTAGAATTGACAGGTCTGCTCCAACTACAGACAAGAGGAGAAACAATGCAGAGATGGAAGACGCTGACAAAGCCTTGCCACGCTAGCTGTCAGCAGCTGTGCATCGCTGCTGGTTGCCTAGGACCAAACCAGAGAGGGTCTGACCTGCATTGCCACCATGTGTCCACCATCCAGATATCATGGCTGACATGTACACATAAGGATCTGTTTGACATTGAAATGGGGACTCAGAACTGTTGGACATTGAAATTAGGACTCAAACATTTTTTGTTATTAGATGTTTATTTCTAGTCTGCAGAGGCAAGATTTTTTTAAAGGAAAGAAATGGGAGGAAATAGATACAGAGGCAAAGAAGCATTGAACACACTGCCAAACTATAGCAGGAAGGCTAAGGAGGGTTCGCGGGAGGAGGTAAGAGATCAACTGAAGGACTTGCATGCATGCATACAAGCATACCCAATGAATACAAGACACTGGGTGGGGGCCAGATGAGGGCATGTACTGGAAGGTAGGGGAGGCATGGGGGAGGTCAATGGGGGGAAAAAGGAGACATATGTACTATTTGTAATACTTAAAAAAATAAAGTAAAATGATGCATGCAAAAAAAAGAGATCAGTCTCTAATATTTTATCCATTTGTATTTGTTTTTTAAATATTAGTTACTAATATTTTTATAAAATAAGATGAATCTGACCTAAAACAGGAACATGGTATTTTTCTTTTCTCCCCCCTCCTTTAAATTTACTTCTATGCTCATTGTAACAAATCCAAACAATATAGACGTTTATAAAATAAAAAAGTCTAAAATAGAAAGTATTTTTTCTTAAGTTTCTATACCTCAAGTTCCATTTCTCCAGTGATAACTTTTAATATTTTGATGTGCATCATTCTTTTCTATGTATATATAAACATATCTTTACATGTATTGTAATTATAAACATAAAACCGAACCATACCAATATATAGTTGTTCAGCAGCTTACTTCTTTCCAACTTAGCAGTATATCATGAACATATTTCCAATCATTTTAATTCATTCTTATTAGTAGCACAATAGCATCCTATTATTTAATATACTGTAATTTATTTATCAATATATTATTAATGCATATTTAGGTTCCTCCAAACTTTTTGTTAGAAAAAAATGCTGCCAGAAACATTTTTGTCATATTTCTTTATAATTTATGCTATTACTTTTACAGTATAAATATCTAGACATGGGTTACAGCATATAGGATGTATACATTGATATTTTTGGTAGTGAGTTTTTACCTATTTGATATACAAAGCAGGGACAGTATTCAGAATATAGGGAAGGGTCCAATACTTCTGGGCATTTGTCTAACCTGTATTATGGAAGTAGCTTGACTTTTGAGCATCATGGAATCTTCTTCTGCAGGATAAATTTATATCACATTCAAACTGGTAACAGATAAGTTATGTGTGGAGCTCTGGCTAGATCCACTTCTGATTTCAGAGTTCTTACAGCCAATTCTTTCAGTGAAAATGAAAATTAATACAGTTTCATTGAAGCTTCAAATAGGGCAGACAGATCCTCTTCTGACTGAGGGCGTGGTGCAAGTTTGGTGACCCTTTCCTGAAACAGTAAACAAAAGGAGTCACTCACAGCTTTGAAAAGGCAGTTTGTGAAAGCTACTAGGTTATGCAAATTAACTTGGGCACAAGAAACAATGACTTAATAATAGTTCTATCTTTAAAGGTCATATTTCTTGTTTGCTTCATACTAATTGACTCCCAACTCAAAAGTTTATCAAGTGACGCATCTTTCCCACAAAGCTTTCGCATTTTACTTTTCAATTGCAGTTTACATTCAACATTATTTTGTCTTAGTTTTAGGTGTACAGCATAGGGGTTAGACAACCATATACTTTTCAAAGAGATCCTCCAACATTTCAAGTACCCACCTGGCACCACACAAAGTTATTACACTACTATTGGCGAGCTTTCAAATGCCTATATCTTGCCTAATTGTCCTTGCCTTATGCCTTGCTAATAGCCTTCTGTTCAAATGTACAGAACTAAACCAGCCTCAGGACAAACACCTCCTATAATGACCAAACCGCGTTGGTCAGCAATCTTGGCCAGTTCTCCGGGTGTGGAGAACACTGTCCCAGGCTCAGCAAAGAAAACAGAACCAGGTCATCCCTGACTTCAAAGACTGTATATTTTGCAACTTGAACTTCTGGGATAGTCAAAAGAACTTCATTAGGACATAATTTTCAGGCTATGGGCAACAAGGGGCTCCCTTTTAAAATATTAACTAAGGTTTTATCTCTATGGTTGGAAACGAATTTGGTGACTTGCTTAATTTTTTCCATTGATTATTGAGTCAAGTCAGCAGAGCTAGCCAGCACATGCTTTTGCTATTTATATTCTCATTGGTGGCTCCTTGATTTCTCTGGGACAGAAGATTAATAGAATTATAACGACTACTCTGTGTCCAAATTTCTGGGTCTAAATAAAATTTTAAAAATGTAGCAGTTTGGGTCTCTCGGTCTGTTTGCTTGTGCTGAGCACTTGTTTGGGAGCGCACCTGGTGGAAGAGGGAAGCTCCATGAGGGCAGGGCTATGATTTCTTGGATGACACCAAAAGCATAGGCAATAACAACAAAAAAGCAGATAAATTGGACTACATCAAAATTAAAAACTTTTATGCATCAGAAGACACTATCAAGAGAATGAAAAGATAACTAATAGAATGGGGAAAATATTTGTAAGTCAGATATCTGATAAGGGATTAATATCCAGAATATACAAATAATTGCTACAACTTAACAACAAAAACTCCCAGACAACCCAATTAAAAAACAGGCAAAGGATCCCTGGCCAGTATGGCTCAGTTGGTTGGAGTGGTCCCATGCACTCAAGGGTTGTGGATTTGATCCCCAGACAGGGCACATATGGGGCAACTGATAGATATTTCTCTCCCTCTCCTTGTCTCTCTCTCTCTCTCCCCCCCCCCCTCTCTCTCCAATCAATGTAAGCATATCCTTGGGTGAAGATTTTTTTAAAAAGGAAGCCTGGCCAGCATGGCTCAGTGTTTGAGCGTCAACCTATGAATCAGGAGGTCATGTTAGATTTTTGGTAGGGTCACAAGCCCAGGTTTCGGGCTTGATCCCCAGTGTGGGGCATGCAGGAGGCAGCTGATCAATGACACTCTCTCCTCATTGATGTTTCCATCTCTCTCTCCCTTCCTCTCTAAAATCAATACAAATATATTAAAAAAAAAAAAGGAAAAAAATAGCAGAGGACTTGACTAGACATTTCTCAAAGGAAGATTATATAAATAGGCAATAAGTACATGGAAAAAGCTCAGCATTGTCATTAGGGAAATACAAGTCAGAACCACAATGAATTTCTACTCACACTCATTAGAATGGCTTTTTAAAAAATAAAAATAACAATTGTTTAAAAGTGTTAGATTGGAGAATCTGGAACTTTTGAGCATTGTAAAATGGTGTGTACGTAAAATGGTATAACCACCATGGAAAATAGCCTGGCAGTTCCTCAAAAAATTAAACATAGAATTACCCAAATAAATCTAAATCAGGGACCAAAACAGATACTTGTAAACCAATGTTCCTAGCAGCACTATTCACAAGAGCAGAAGTGGAATCAACCCAAATAAATGTCTAGCTGCAGATGAATGAATAAGCAAAATACGGTATATCCACACAATGGAATATTAGTCAGCTACAAAAAGGAATGAAGTTCTAAAACACCGAAGACATATGCTAAGTGAAATAGGCAAAACAACAGTTCAAATATTGTATAATTCCACTTTCACGAAGTACCTAGAACAGGCAAATTCATAAAGATAGAAAGTAGAATAGAGGTTACCAGGGGTTGGGGGAAAGGGACAGAAGGGGCAATGGTAATATTATTTATCATTACACAATAGAGCAGAACTTTTATTTGGGATGATTAAATAGTTCTGGAAATGGACAGTGGTGATGGTTGCACAAGATTGTAAATGCACTTAATGGCACTAAATTGTATATTTAAAAATGGTTAAAATAGTTGATTTTGTTAGGTATATTTTACCATAATTTAAAAATTAATTAAAAAAAAGAAAGGATGGATGGACAGATGGGAGAAGAATGGGAGTCAACACTGATGAGTATGGATAAAGCCAAGATAAAATTGTACATCCCAGCAGATCTTTTAGAGACCCCAACACTTTTTGAAAATCTGTAGCAAGGTCCAGAGACGTGGTCATGGTGACCTATGTATGCCTTTGTGACAGGGCAAGAAGTGAAGAACGCTGTCCCATCACTGGGTTGATAATGGAGTTGTAAGTCTTATTGGATGAGCTAAAAGGCCCTTCAAATGATCTTGTTCACCTTTGGTGAAGTAGTTCAGGACTCAGAAGTGTTTCAGGCCACGCTGAGCTGATTTCAGATTTCTAAACCCCAACGACTGGTTAAATGGCCGCAAGGACATAACGTCTGTGATACATCCCCCCACATATCATCGATGCCGTATAAAAGCTTAACTCGCTGGGACTGGTTTGGATCAATGGATAGAGCATCAGCTTGGGGACGGAAGAGTCCTGGGTTCGATTCCGGTCAAGGAATTTAGTTGCGGGCATATCCCCAGTAGGGGATCGATGACTTTCTCTCATCGATGTTTCTAACTCTCTATTTCCCTTCCTCTCTGTACAAAATCAATAAAATATATTAAAAAAAAAAAGTTAAACTCTCAGAATCAAGATGTGCTCTGCAATGTGCTACTGTTTATAGACATGTAAGACTGAAGGACAACTGATTAACATGGGCACTGAAATCAATCCAGACTACTACTTTTTAGCACATTCATAAAATAACAACATTTCAGCTGGCCTGCCTTGCCAGGGAGTGGAAGTGCTCATTTTGGTAGACAGCTCTCCTCAGTAATGAAATGTTTTGATTTGAAATGTAAATGTTTCTTTCTAGAAGTTTCAGAAACCCAACTTGGGAGATTAATTTATTCGTGCCCGCTCCTCTTGCAGCCCGACTACGGCGGTTGGAAGCCTCTGCACACAGGGCTGCTCTTTGCCGCTGCCAGTAGGAGCCGCGGTGTTTGGTCAAGAATACTGGCCTGGTTGTTCCTTCCAGAGGGAAAAAAACCGACCCCTCGTTGCTGAACATAAAAGGAGCTTTATCAAATGTCGACTCCATAAAATAACCTTTTTTTTTTTTTTTTCAGGAACCACTATATCCCCTTCACTACTTTAAATCCTGTGATACTAATAAGTGAGGATTACTGTGCCTCCTGTGTAAAATCTGAAGCTGCCACAGTATTCCTACGAAGTGTTCACTGTTGCCAAACAAACAGAAAAACCCATGGTAGTTCTTTATTTGCAAGATAAGTTTATTTCTAAGATTCCTTCTAAAGTCCTGTGAATATATATATATATATCTATAACTATTTATATATAATACCTATCTATCTCTATATCTCTCTCTACATTATATATATATATATATATATATATATATATATATATATATCTCCAAATGTGATAGCTAATTTATTATTTTTAAAAATATTTTTATTGATTTCAGAGAGAAAGGGATAGGGGAGAGAGATAGAAACATTAATGATGAGAATCATTGGTCGGCTGCCTCCTGCATGCCCCACACTGGGGATAAGCCTGCAACAGGGGCATGTGCTTTGACCTGGTTCATAGGTCAACATTCAACCACTGAGCCACACCAGCCAGGCTGATAGTTAATTTAAATGAACAATGTTTCTAATACGATCAAAAGGGAAAAAGGCAGCATACCTGTTGGGGCTGCTTCATGAATACAGCCTGAGGGAATCCTACTTTATGGACATGACTTGTATGCCAAAGATTCCATTTACCCTGCATCTTTTGTGGAACAAAAAACGTAGTTTTGTCTAATTAAAGTTTTGCTATCTGTATTTCCCAGTATGATATGTATGCTGAGGCATTCAGAAGAATACCGAATTAATTTGCTATTTTAGTGGACGGACTCAAATGTTAATCTGAAACAGCTTCTGAAAGCGAAGTCTGAGCAAGGTAGAAGTAAAACAGTGAACACTTGCCAATGTGTCCTGATGCCTGGAAGATGCATTGCCACCAGCAGTTAAATGGCCAATAATATACAGTTCCACCTGAAAATTATCAATACCATCCACAGAGGTTGACTAACACATATTTCTAAATACTTTCTTGGGCTATGTAAGCAGAACTTTTCAGAGGACCCCTTGCAGAATGGATACTCTCACTGGAATTATACTGTACGATCAGACCCACATCAAAATCCTAATGATCATTTGCTCTCTGATCCCTGAACAATTGCTCATTGTTATTGGTTGATGACCATGTCAATCTAAGGAAATTTCTCAAAAAGTTACCACCATTCAGCCATTAAGCTCAGCTGGTATAAGAGGAAAGGGTTGTAGGTATGTATTCATTCAATATGTTTACTAGTCCATGCTAGATGCAATAGAAGATGGATGACCAAAACAGACAGGTTCCAAGGCTTTATGGAACTTACGGTCTAATAGTTTTGGGTAAAATAATTGGAATGGTCATATTTTTTTGGCCATTTAGTCCCTTGGATTGTGGGTTAGAACCAAGAGTTTGTGAGTTAGCCTGGGAGCTTTGCTACTTTATGAGACTCCTCTTTTCTCATTCTCTTATATTTTTATATAAAATAGAGTCCAATGATTCTCAGTCTATATCAGAAAAACTGGTGTCCCATGGGCCATGTTTGCTTTGTACATTGGTAAGTGAGGGGATTCAATACAAACATCCAGGTTGTGAATTTTTCTTGAAAACTCGAAGTTCTACCAACACTGGGATCTGAATTTCTACTTGGATGTAATAAATCGTAGCTAAAAAGAGGCTTACCCAATGAAATAAGCCATGAGTTTTCCAGTTCACCAAAGCCCCCACCACTTGCCGTTTCCTTAAATTACTTTGTTCATTGCTGCTACCTCCCTGGCTCCCGTGGAAATGAATGAACCCATACAAATATTACCTTAGATGAGCTGGGGGCTTCAACATTCTAAACTTTTGCTAAGTAGGGAAGAAGCTAGTGTGAGGCCCTTGCTTAACTGGAGTGGGGTTGAGTAGGATGCTATGTGGGGATATTCCAGTTAACTCTGTTCCCATTTCAGGGATACAGACTCATGACCATCTTTGGGCAGACATGCCTTATCTTCATATCCTCACAGTGTTCAAGTGCTCCTGGCTTTCCCATTTTGGGAAGGACTAAGGGAGCACTCAGCATGGGGAGCACTCCAGCTCTCTGTTTTATGGTATTATCTTGTTAGGATCTGATGCTATAGCACAGGGGTACCTGGGTATCTGATCCAAATGGGAGAGAGGTCCAATGAGGGTTGAACTCTCCTCATGCAAAACTAGAGAAGGAAAACTCTACATTTATTACAACTTTTCTACCAAATAAAGAATAGTTCAGTTTAAGTTCTTTATCACCATTTAAATAAATAAGACCCAAAGTGATGCTGATAATGCATATTATATATTTTATGTTTATGTATAAAATATACAATCCCCCAAATATGTAAAACAGCGATTGATTTTGTAGTAGTCTTAAAGGCCATGCTTATTCTACACAAAATTGCAGGAATCTGGAATTCTTTATAATGCAAAAACGCTATTGGTGGCTCTTTAGCAACAGCTTCGTATCTAGTTTTACAGGGGACTCTTACGAGAGCAGGAATGGAGAAAAGGGAAATTTTGCCACACCTCAATGTAAATGCGGCTTGTTTATGCCTTACATTTTTAATAAAGGCTCCTTTCAGTTTCATCATGAAAGTTTCACACATGCCCCAGGTTTATGGAAGACCATGAAGGCGAGGGAGCCTTGGCCCCTTCCTCTGGGGAAAGGGAGCGCGGGGCCATCTGGTGGAGGAGAACTGGGGGCTGCCTGAGGACCCCTGAGTCTTCCTCTCTCCCCACATGCCCCAGGTGGGACGCTGCCTCTTCTCTCTCTCTCTCTCTCTCTCTCTCTCTCTCTCTCTCTCTCTCTCTCTCTCTCTCTCCCTTTTAAATATATTTCTTTATTGATTTCAGAGAGGAAGGGAGAGGGAGAGAGAGATAGAAACATCAATGAGAGAGAATCACTGATCGGCTGCCTTCTGCACGCCCTCCACTGGGGATGTGCCCGCAACCAAGGTACATGCCCTTGACCGGAATCGAACCTGGGACGCAGATCAACGCTCTATCCACTGAGCCAAACCAGCTAGGGCTGCTCTGCATCTCTTACCTGGGGCAGGGTTCCTTTCACCAAGGCGGGGATGTCGGCCTTCGAGTAGCCAATGGCAGCGAGGCCGTCCTCCACCTCCAGGTCCAGCAGGAGTTTCCGGAGGGCATCCGCCAGAACGGGCCCAGCATCTGCCCTCCTGGCGGTGCGGGTGTCGGCCCCTGGAAGACACAAAGCGCTGACTGTGGGCGGAGGGGAGGAAGCTGGCCCTGGGTGTAGCTCAGTCCCACGGGTGGCTGATGTATAACCTTCTGCTGGCTCCCCAGGCGGAGGACAAGGGCCCCAATGTGCCTCCCACGCGGAGGCCGGCCCAGCGGGCAAGCCTGCAGGAGACAGATGGGCCAGGCTAGTGCGGAGGAGCCCACTGGGGCGGCTAACCCGGCTCTCACCTTCTCAATGGGCTCCTCAACCCTTGGGGTGTGGGGGGTCGAGGGAGACAAGGAACAGAGCCAAATAAAAGAGGCCCAAGAAGGAGGCCGAGAAAGAAGGCTGGTGTTGGAATGAAGAAGAAGGAGAAGGAGAAGGAGAAGGAGAAGGAGAAGGAGAAGGAGAAGGAGAAGGAGAAGGAGAAGGAGAAGTGAAGGAGAAGGAGAAGGAGAAGGAGAAGGAGAAGGAGAAGTGAAGGAGAAGGAGAAGGAGAAGGGGAAGGGGAAGGGGAAGGAGAAGGAGAAGAAGGAGCATTTGTGGCAGAAAACACAGCTTATGCCACTTCCAAGGCCTGGAATTTGCTGACATCTAGAGGTAGTACGTGTTCAATGTCTTTTTTCTCACAGCAACCTTTACAGAAGAGACAAACCCTTTGCAAAAACTTTTTGTGAGATAAGGATCTAGGTAAGTACGAACACGCCAAACACTGCCTGCCAAAAAGGAAGAAGATGACAAAAATGGATCATGTGTGGCCAGGAAGGAAACTATTTCTTTTTAATAGCTATAAAAAGTTTTTATTTTGGACTCTGTTACCAATAAGCAAAGCAGTTTCCTCTACAGAACTAGTCAGACAAAACCAAGTACAGGAAGACTCTCAGAAAAACGGTTTTTAATAGGTAGGTGCTGATATTGGTGGAGGTGGGAGAAGGCTGACAAGCGTTGGAGGTGGAAAAGGGCAGAACTGGACGTAATGAATAATTAACACACCACATTAGAGAGACATCAGTCTGGAAGAGCCAGGGGGCTCTGCCTGTAGGAAGGGTGGTGGTGACCGCTCCCAGATGAAGGAACCTTGGCACCCCCGACTCCATCTATGCCAGCTGAACACACTCACGGCCTGGAAGGGAAGCCCTTTACAAATGGAAGGTAGCATTAGTTATTATCCAGAATGCCTCAAGCCGCCGTCCACGTCCACTTTCTCCGTAGTGTTCAAAAGGGGTCTATCATGTACGTTTCACCTCCATCCTAAAGCACAGGATTAAATCAATTTTAACCTCTCTCTCTAGGACAGTGAGAACTGGTTGAGTAATCCTGGAGAAGGATAAATAGAACCAGATATGGGACTGATTGGTGGAGCAGCTGGGGTAGGAAGGTAAGCCTTGCCTGACAAGACCAGTCTATACTACACAGCAGCGGCTAAAATATGGAGTAGGTGGAGAGGCAACACACGATACAAGGTTTATGAGATTTTTATTTTCTTGGGATTGGTGCCATAAAAAATATACCACCAAAACCTCTGGGTTTTTCTACGAAGTGTTTTAGAAAAAAAAGAGAGAGGGTAGGAAAGTGAATACGTTGGTATACAACTAAGAAAACCTAAGATTCCTTAGGGAATCAAAAAAGGAATGGCCACATACAGAATAATATTAATCAAAGTTTCTGATGCAACGAGAAAGAACTGGTGGGTTCTTCTGGCCAGGGTTTTTGTCTTACAGAGGAATTGCTTTCTCAGTCATTTTGGTGGTTGTCTGGAATGTCAGCTGTATGTTCTCTTAAGATTTTCCCCACTTATCATGCATGTAGCCTACTATTGGGGATCCTGTCTGTTTACACGGTCTGTGTATTTCCAAAGGCATCTGAGTCCCAATAAATGGCTGAACAACATCCCTAGTCCCAGAGGGAACAGGAACACGAGATCCTTGGCAAAGGTGCTATCACATTTGCGGCAGCACACGCAGGAAAAGCAAGCCCTGGGCTTCTTTCCTAAACATGCCGGGAGCACACATGTCAGAGTGAGAGAGGAGTGAGCGTGAAGAGGCCCCGCGGAAGGATGTCTGTGGTCGTTCCCACCTTCTTGGACATAATCTCTCCAACGGCCGGGGCTAGGGGAGTATAATGAATTTTTCTTTCAGACTTTCCCTTCCTGCCCTAAACACGAGTAGGGGAATAAGATGTTTGGACAGTTAATCAAACACTCAAGTACTTAAAAAAGACGTTTTTGTCTTAGAAAAATACTAAAATTTTACTAATCTAAGCTATCCTGAATATAATTCTATCTCTTGCCAAGATGCAAAAGGCACTGCTGGAAATGTATTATAGGCTTTACTTATTCTAAAGAGCAGCAAAAATATTCGCCTTTGGGGATCTTTTTCTACAGTTTCTAGTTGTTTAGTCTCTCTATAATTGGGAATTAGATTCATTTTATTACCTATTAAACTCGCCAGAATCATTTACCACATTTGTTATATGTAAAGACTTTCACTTTCCTTGGGGATGAAAACAGGAACTATGGGGATTACTCCAAACTCAACATAAGCAATATTTGGTTCCAGTTCACTGTTACCAGATTGTTAGAACATGAAATTATAAAATTTTAGCACTGAATTGTGCAGGTCAGTGACAAGTTATTTCTAAACTACCTCAAAGCAACATTATTTATTTATTTATTTATTTATTTATTTATTTATTTATTTATAGAATTATCCTTTATCTTTAGAATCAAACCGAGGAAGTGCTCCACCTATGTGAGTCACAGGATTACGAGTAATGATTCGTACCCAATATTTCTGCCGTCTCCAGGTGTCGCTCAGGAGACATCTGGGCTGTGAAGGTGAACACCGCTGGCGAGGTGAGCACCACAGAAAGGCCGTGAGGCTGCGGAGGAACAAAACGCGGTGACGGGTGGGCCAACTGCAAGTTCTAGACATTAAGTTACCCCGAACTCCGAGCAATCAAGCATTGACAAACACATTTATAACAACTGCAAGAAATAGGAGACTTAATTAAAAAATGTATTATGATTTTACCACCAATGGGTGATCCACGTTATAATCCTTTGCTTTATATGTCTTCACTAAGCCTGAAATCGGGTAAGACATTCCATGGCTAGAAAAGAAAGAAAGCCCTTATGTTGGCATAAAGTTATTGGAAATTCAAGATAACAGAAAGATACTCACTATTCTGGGAGAGCTCTTCACAGTCTCTAGACAATACCTTTTTCTCACAAAGTGATCCACTTTGTTTCCCTTGCTATAAAAAATACTGTTATGTATTCAATATTTGGTGTTATTTGTAGTAAAACCTTTGAAATACTCAAAATCAAATACTCATAAAATTGTATACCATTAAAACGTGTTAGTACAGAAGACTCTCCCCAAATACATTGGTTAACCTTATAATCTGGAAGAAATTGAGAATTCACTTTGAAGTTTCTTTAATACATTTCAGGGCATGTATTTTTTTTTTTTATCCTGCTCTGCAATATGTTGGCAGTGTGTTCCTGCACAAGCTGACCATGTCAGTGGGAGATTTATAAAGTAAGATGTGATACATCAGACATGTAAGCTTGACCGGCTAGTGATCTGTCCCACCAATGATCAGTATATCCTTCAGAATGGTACATACTAATGGAGTTGAATCACAAATGATTATTCTAGTCTGAAAGACTTTCAAGAAATAGCGCCATGATTTTTATTTATGGGAATATTTGAAGGGGGGGGGAATGGAAAAACTTTATATCCTCTTGAGTTCTTACTGAACAAATAGGATAATATTATAGTTTAATACACATGTGTCAAACACAAGGCCCGCGGGCCAAATCCGTCCTTGCAATGTGGCCCGCACCACGCTGTCATCACTGCACTCCGCTGCGTTTCCATCACAATGACAGTTTATGACTGTTCAGTAAACCATTCGGCCCTCGATTTAGGCTGGATTTTAGATTTTGGCCCCTTCTCTGATTGAGTTCGACACCCCTAGTTTAATAGATGATTCAAGAGATATACATTGTTAGAAGTTAGTATGGTTACAATTAATGTATTAAAAAGAAAATATTTTATAACAGTAAAATGGCCTATAAGTCTATTAAATATTAGATAGCTTTGTGCTTATTCACCAAAAAAAAATTACATTTCATAGAAAGATGAAATATTTGGTGAAGTGTATGATTATCTATCAAATAAAAAGGGGGTGGGCCCTAGTCTATCATCTTTCATGAGACAGATCAAAAGCTATGAGTCCTCTGAGTTGTTGGGTATTTTGGAATATGTTTTACATTTCTCAGGCTCCAAAGTATTCAGAAAATTATTTCCTAGTGTGCCTTCATGATGTGAAAGGGTTAATGTAGCTTTAAAAGGTACCGTTCTAATTATAGCCAATATTTTAGTTAACTTATTTTATTTTAATAGTTGTATATGTTCTTTGTAAAAAATTAAAAGAATCCATAATTCTATTTCCTCAAGATAACCATTATAGAATATTTCCTTCTAGTCTTTTATGCACAACTTTAATATATATATGATTGATCATACTCTGCATTCAGTTTTAAACAATGCTTTTGTTACTTAATATTCTTTGTAAACATTTTCCTGTATCACTTTGTATTCTTCTAAAACATTATTTTTAATAGCCTTATTTTATTCTTTGAGTACTGCACTTTGGTTAACCATTCCTAATCTATTGGAAATTTAGGTTGCTTCCACATTTTTCAATTATAATAACAATTAGGTGGTTATCCTTATAAGGAAATTCATTGATCATATGGTATGTTTTAAGGCTACATTTTAGAAGTAAAATTAGTGGGACAAAAGGTAAACACATTTTTCAAACTTTGGGGAGATTTTGCTCAGTTGCTCTCTCAGCAGCAGAGTTTGGAGGAGACCATTTATTTTATTGTACTCTGCCTAGCAAATTCTTAATTCTCCATGTTCACTGGTGTTCAATTTGAAGGCAATATACCAGTAAAGTTCTGATCAAACAGATTAATTCTGGGCTATTGGGAACGACTCTAATCTCTCTTTTTGTGAGAGATTAGAAGAAAAAATACTGCATTTGAGGTTTTAAAAATCCCCCACAACACATGGAGAGAATGTGGAGCAATCAGAACCCTCATTCACCGCTGGTGGGAATGTAAAATGGCGCAGCTGCTATGAAAAACAGGAAGTTCCTCAAAATTTAAAATACAATCACCAGCAACTCCACTCCCAGGTATATATAATCAATAGAAATGACAAGTGTTCATAGCAGCATTTGTCACAATAGCCAAAAAGTGGAAACAACCCAAATGTCCATCACCTGATGATGGATAAATAAAATGTGAAAAAGCAACACAATGAGATGTTATTTGGCAATAACATGGAATGAAGTACTGATGCAAGCCACAGAAGCATTATGATGAACGAACCACAGAAGCATTATGCTATGTTAAAGAAGTCAGATACAAAAGACCAGATATTATATGATCCTATCTGTATGAAATGCCCAGAATAGGCAAATCTATAGAGAGAAAGTAGATTAGTAGTTGCTTAAGACTGGGGGTATAGGAGGATTATATAGCAGGTGAAGGCTAAGAGGTATAGCATTTCTTTTTTGGGGTGATAAAAATGTCCTAAAACTGATTGTGGTAATGGTACCTGTGAATATACTAAAAACCAAAACAAAACCCTGACTTGTTCATTTTAAAAGGTGAATTATATAGTGTGGATTATATTTCAATAAAATTGTTACAAAAAAAAAATCTGTGGCCCAATAAATTACATTAGAATGAAGAAAATACTCCAGGACCCCAAGTTAAATACCTTCTTTCCATAACCTATTTAAATATCACCACCTGTCTTACGTTATAAACGGTTTTAAAATTTAAGAGTAGTCGGTTAGGTGAAGAAATAAAATCTCTGATTCGCTCACCACAGATGAACACCAGCATTTCCAAAACCGATGCCAGCAAAGGCACTTGCCAAGTGCATACTGGACCTTGCTTCGAGATCATCGGGGTTTCTGACAGCCCTGTGGACGATATAAATTCCCAACAATAACATATCAGCATTGGCATTTCCTATCGAATAAAGAGCCGCCTGAGGGAAAGAGTTGGGAGAAAAAAAAAAAAAAAAGAAGTGGTATTTGGTAGGAAGAAAAATTAGGCAAGTTATTCAAATGACACCTTGTCTTCTAAAGGAAAGCCGAGGGCAAGCACATTTTCTCATCAATGGTTTCAGCAGAGGCATAATAAATACGCTGTCAGGCTGCTCGTGGGATGAAAGTGCCCGGGGAAGCAGCGCACTGACCCCTGGATTGGGAGAGCTGCTCCAGCCAAGTGCCCTGAGACTCATTCTTCTTCTTCATTTGTCAGTGACCTTGACCGCCGCTGTGAATGGACTGAGAGTAAACACGCACTCGGAGTGCACGGGGCCCAGACTGGTTCACGGCACCGGAGACCTTGTCGCCTGGGGCTGCCTGCAGCCCGCCCAGCCATCTTTCTTCCCGTGACACCGCCCCGATTGGGCCCCACAGGGGACCTCTTTTGTCATCTGTAGAAACGGCACATGTTATTTTAATATTTGTTATTGTGGAAGCGGGATGTTATTGCAGGACAAGCTTTTGCTGGCTCTATTTGTCCCCGGTGCCATTTGGAAAAGCCAGTTCTCAAAGGCCCCTTTCAGATGCAGCTCGCTGCTTGTCCTGGGGAGGAAGCCTGAGACTGCCAAGCGAACCACTTCCCACTTGCTTTTTTTTTTTTTTTTTTTTTTTTTTGCGATTTCTCCTGGAGCTAAGGGTTCCTGTTATGAAATGAGAGTGCCACGGCGTTTCCCCCGCTTTCATTTGAAATGGTTAGGAGTTTGAGTCCCCTTTCCAAAACCCAGTGTTCGCGCTGTGTTCCCCGAATAACAAGGTAAAATAGTAAATGATGGAGATTTAGCCTTTCCTCTGTCCGTTTTACCCCCTCACCTCCCACTGCTGCTCCTGCCTTCAGTTCCTGCCCAGACACACCTCGGACAGTTGTCAGTCAGATGCTTCTGTGCTTCCCGAAGGTCCCTGGGCCTGAAATAGTTCTGTGTCCCCTCCCGGCTCAGTCCCCGCTCCAGAGCAGCTTCCAGCTCAGGGCCAGAGGAGGCGCCGCCGTGCTCACATCTAGGCCTAACCTGCTGTGTGAGGGACTAACTTCCCCTCACTCATAACCTCCCCTTAGACTCATAACGCCTAACCTCCCTTATGAGACTGACTTTGCAGCTGTCTTCATGTCTCAGAGATCAGCTTTCATCTCTAAGTATGTATTTATTCTCCCAGGAGCCTGTTATGGCTATGTCATTCATAAATCTTTCATAACCTTTAGAAAGCATTTTGTGTCTCCTGGGACAGACAACTCCACACATTTAATTCTTATATTTGGCTCCTCCCAGTGTGCTCACAGGGCTGATTCCATGTGCCTTTGTCCAGGGCCCAGATGGGCACAGCCAGCATCTGCCTCTGTGGTTCTCTTGTCTGGCACTGGTAGCCAAATCTCAAAGGACATCTCTCCTCATTCTAGCTTTGCTTTTGAGGCGTCAATGAACAAACCTTGTATCTGTTTCCTTCGTCAATTAGGGACTCCTATTTTACCCTTTTCAGAATGAAGGACCCAGCTTGCAGCTGTCTTTACCCTTTTCAGACTGAAGAACTCAGTTTTTAGCTGCACCTCCCACCCCTCAATCCCTCTCATCTTTCCAGAAGCTTTCTGAGGCTTCTCTACACCCACTGGCTGACCTTTTGGTGATCAGACTTAGGACATGTCAGGATCTGGCATGGTACATTTTACATGAGGGTGGAATGTGGTTTTGTTTTTGTTTGTTTGTTTGTTTTTGTTGTTGTTCTATTTCTATTCCCTCTGGGTGGCATACCTCTTCAGATACTTGGCGACGATCCGCAGTGCGTGGACTGCCCAGATGTCACTGATTGGGTTGCTGCCCTGGTAGGCTGGCCGAGAGATGGGATTTGGAGGGCAGGGACTCCGCATGTGGTAGGGAAGGGCAGTGTAGGATTCCAGGGCATGACTAACAAGAAATAGTTAAAACACACAGGTTGAAATGTGGTCTTCCTTCCCCCGCTCCATTAAGATTACAAACTGTCTTGGAAACGTACTCACTCCACCGTGGATATGCTATGTGGTACTGACAACCACAATGCGTCCCACTAGTTGGCCCCATGAAGTCCTAACCAGGGGAATTGCCTCTAAGGTTGAATTCACGGGTGTGTCCATCTTCAGAACTGGCCAAGGGGGCCCCCGGGGCAGATTCCTCAGGGCAGGTGTTCTCTTCCTTGGAAGATACGTAGAAGGGCAACTACCATCATTCTTTCTTCTGAACACCCTCCCCTCCCTTGGATTGACAGCGAAGTCTTTGGGCCTCTGAGCTATTCACTTAAAGGTCACTGCATTGGCCCATTATAAATTTGTTATGAAGCTTCCAGTTAGGGAGGGTAATCTTATTTCCAAGTTGTTAGGGGATGATGCTTCAAAGTACTGACAACTTTGACCAGGAAGGAGTTGAACACAACTTTCTCCAGTTTTGTTTTGTTTTTTAGTAGGCAGCATAATGTAGTGAAAAAAGCAGGCCATGGATTTGGAAACCTGGATTTGAATCCTTCCTCTACTGCCTCCTGCTTGTGTGAACTTCATTCAACAGCTATTAATTGAGTACCTATGGAGTGACAGTTGGTTTGCAAGGGGCACGGACAGATAAGTGAGTAAGACGGTTCTGCCCTTACCAAGCTCACATGCACTGAGGGAGACAGACATGTGAAGAGAGGGGTGTGTCAGAAGCAATGTACAGGCCCCCCGGTGGGGGAGAGCAAAGGGCAAAGTGGTCAGTTGTACTTAAGGAGAGGGAAGGTGAGGGTCAGAAAAGATTCCAACAGGGAGAGAATGCTCCAGTGGAATTGAAAGATGAGTTATCCAAACAGATAAAGAGCAGAGCATTAGGGCATTCCAGGGCCAAAGGAATTTGGACATTGGATAGAAAGGGTTGAAAGACTTGTAAGGTAGAGGTGTGTGTGTGTGTGTGTGTGTGTGTGTGTGTGTGTGTGTATTGATTCTGCAAGCTTGGTGAGGCCAGCATGGAAGACAGAAGGAAGGACTATGGGATGGAAACAGGCTGATTGATGAGAGATTACTGCAATCAACTGTCCAGGTAAGACCTGGGAGCAATGAGGCCCGAGAGGAGGGAACAGATGTAAGAGAGATTCTGCTGGCTGGTGTGGGCATTAGAGAAAGGAGATGTCCACACTGAGTCCTGCTGCTCACTATATTAAGGAACGACTCAGGAGAAGAAGCCGTGGGGCATGTTGTTGTTGGTGGTGATGGGGGGGAGGCGCTTATTGGAAATTAAAAGAATTACCAAGATTTTATCAAATTTCCATTTAAAAACTGTACCACCGAGGAAGAAAATGATACTGCCATGCTGCAGATTTTGAAATAGGTTCTGATTTGAGATTTAGAACATGAAGAAAATGTGTGTGTGAAAATGGATGAAATAGGGTAATTTGGGACATGCTGAATGTGACGTGCCCATGGGACCTCCATGAAGCCACTGGAATGAATGGCCTGGAGCTCCGAAGCGAGGTCGATGGCAGAAGCCACTGATTAGGAAGCCATCGCACACGGAGCTGAAGCCCAGGGAGCCTGCAATAGACTGTGGGTAAGTGGCTAAAGGGAGTTCTCACCTGGCACAGAGCTGCGGTGAAGTGATATGTGTATAAAGTGCTGACAGGGTGTGCAGGGTCCAGCTCAGAGGATGTCAGCTCCCCTCCCTGCCTTCTTCCGCGCTGTGGCATCCCTGGGCACCCCCTGGTTAGTGTAGCCACAAGGCATACCAGTGAGGACATGGCTCCTTTTGCCATGTCCGTGGCCACAGCTGTGGCAGGGATGGTCCATCCTGAACAGCAGGTTTTTGGCTCACCCAGGGCCTCACTTATTCACTAACCTACTCACTAACAGTGTCCTTGTTTTCATCTAGAAAAAGGAATAACGACAGTCCATGCCTATTGGGGTTGCTATGGCGTGCTAATCAATGAATGCTTAGTAAGTACTTCCAGTAAGAAAATACTGTACTCTTTCTATTTAATAGCTGGTGTTGAGCATGGGAATCTCTCTGAACCACTGGCACAAGCGCCACAAGACTGGAGGCAAGAGAAAGCCCTATCACAAGAAGTGAAAAAATGAGCTGGGACATCCTGTGTCAAAACTACGATTGGCCCCTGCCATACACACCCAGTCAGTGTGTGGAGAGGCAACGAGAAGTCGGGAGCCTTGAGGCTGGACGTGAGCAACTTCCCCTGGGGCTCAGAGTATTATACACACAAAACAAGGATCACTGATGTTGTCTAGAACGCATTCAACAGTGAACTGGTCTGCACCAAGACCCTTGTAAAGAACTGTATCCTGCTCATTGTTAATACGGTACCCACAGGGGTATGAGTCCCACGAGGCACTGCCTCCAGGCTGGAAAAAGGGGATCAAGCAGACTCTCGAGGAGGAAGAGATTTTAAACAAAAAGCGATCCAAGAAAATTCAGAAGAAGTATGATGAAAGGGAAAAGAATGCCACCATCAGCAGTCTTCTAGAGGAGCAGTTCCGACAGGGCAGGCTTCTTGCACGCATCACTCCACAACCAGCCTTGGCTGAGGAGACGGTTATGACTTAGAGGGCAAGGAGTTAGAGTTCCGGCTGAGGAAAATCAAGGCCCAGAAAAGCAAATAAATCTCCCTCCTATCTTAGCTCATGTAATAAAGGTGCTTACTGTTCTTTAAAAAAGAAATAAAGAAAGAAAGAAAACAAAATACTGTCCATAGACCCAGGTATCGAAAATGCCCCTCCAGGTACCTACCAAAGCACATCGAAGCCACTGTTGGCAACCACCCGGTCAGGCATGTGCAGGGTGTGCAGAGGGTCAATCAGTCCCAGCGTGGGTTTGATGGCTCGGGAACCAATGCCTAGGACAGGGATTTCCAAGGGAGGCTATAGGCATGGACTTCATTTAAAAACATTAGATAACGTGAGGATAACAAATTATCCCAAAGTATAAAAATTATGAGGTAAGAGTCATTCTCATGGAGAGAGGCTGCAAGGAGCAGTGGAGAGAGATCTAGAGTCAGAAACCTGGGTTTTTCAGTGGAGAGGACGCTCCTTTCAGTTCACAGGGGCCAAGTATGTGTGTCTCTTCCCAAGGGCAGGTTGGGTGGCATCACTAACTACGGTGGGAATATTTGTACCACAGAAATCGGCAAGTGCTACAAACCAGGGCTTATTTAATTATGAAATGCCAGAGAGCTGGTTTACTAGCTCACAGCTGGTGTGGGTCTTTGCTCTGCAATTTACCATGTATCTCTGGGCAAGTCACTTAGTCTCCCTGAGTTCTTCATGAGATTAGACTATCCAATCGCAGGGCCTCACTGAGCTGATGTAAGGTTCACATTAGATAACATAATGGAAAAGTCTTTTTAAAATTGTAAGGTGGAATTTCAGTGTTGGTAGCTATTATTTCCTGATGTCAAAGGATAATGTAACTTAATTTAAAAGAGAAGTTACTACAAATATGTTGTTGAGTGTCAAGTTTTTCTGCTACCAAGGCCTGAAAGAAGGATATTGAGCCAGAGGTCAAGTAGAGGGACTTTTTTACCACCTCAGCTGAGAGTCAGAGAAGAAGATAGGCTAAAAGGGCAAAGGAAATGAAAAGCAGAACAGTGATTATTTGGGAATGGGACTGGAGGGTTGATCTAGGTTGATGTTTTATATCTTGATTGAAGTAGTAATTACATGGGTGCCTATATTTGTCAAAATCCATCAAATCAGGCTCTTAAAATGTATGCATTTTATTATATAAAAATTATGTTTCGCCATAGCTGGTTTGGCTCAGTGGATAGAGCATCAGACTGTGGACTAAAGGGTCCAGGGTTCAATTCCGGTCAAGGGCCCATGCCCAGGTTGCAGGCTCGATCTCCAGTAGGGGGCATGCAGAAACCAGGCAATCAATGATTCTCTCTCATCACTAATGTTTCTATCTCTCTCTCCCTCTACCTTCCTCTCTGAGATCAACAAAAAATATATATATTTAAAATTATATCTCAATGAAATTAATTTAAAATGCAAAAATGATGTTCAAGAAAGGGAATAACTATTTATCATTGACATATAGTCACTAACTTGTGCAGAGAAATAGCCAATCAAGATTCATGGCATTTCAACATATTTTCTAGGTAATTCTCAAAAAGAAGTTCATTAGATTGTTTCATATTTTCATATGTACTTAGGAGAAGAAAGAAAATGTGGACATGTATATACCGTTCCCTTAACTATATAGCTCCTTGATGGCTAAAGATTAGGATTAAATGAAAGGTACTAGGTTTGAACGGTAAAATAGCTTTTAACAAGTTAAGGGCAAAGTTCTTACCAATTTTTATTTTCAAAGGCTCGTAGTCAAAAATGGCAACTCCAGTAGTTTCACTTCCAGTTCCTGAAGTAGTTGGGACTTGAACAAAATAACAAGAATTATTAATAAAAAAAGCATCTAAATAAAGGTGAGTGGCAATACTTAATTCAGCCTTAGGACATAAGGAGCTAAGTTAGAAGGAAGCTTTGCTGCTCCCATGGCTTGCCTGGTGTGTGTATCTCTACTAACATGTATGTATACTTCACATGTATGTGTGTGCCTGCATTAGTTAACATGCATGTACAACAAAACGATGCCAGTGTCAGCATGAACATGCATGTGTAACAAGTAAAATGTCCATTCTGCATTAATATGCATGCATGTATAACATGTGTGTGCGTTCTGAAGTGGATATGTGATATCTGCATCTGTGTTTACATGTATGGATGCTGTCCACCTTTGTATTAACACGCATGCAGGTTTAACGTTTCTGTATGAACAGTGAGGACCCCTGGGAACCTCAGGTTCCTCTGGTGCCAGAGCTTAAGCAGCTGCAGTTGGATATCTCGAGGAAGAAGACTTGTATTTGCCTCTCTGAAAGACGTCTTTATTCCCTCTTGGCAGCTAGCACACTAAAGCTCTGCCTTTGCTGGGCTTGCGGTTTTGTCATTCTGTCAAGTTTCTAAACTTCACTAATCACCCTTCTGTGTGATGCTGACACAGTTTCACCAGAGGGTTCCATTCCCCAGACATCAATTACGCTGCTCCCTGCTGATTGCTCATTCCCATCAAAACGGCTCATCTGCCATCAACTCACTCCTAATCCATCACAAGACCTGTTTCATGGTGAGGGCAGGAGAGGGGAGCAGAGCGAGGACAAGACTTTAAACTGATATTTCCAGGGACTGGTCAGTACATCTTAGCTATAAAACTTTAAACAGTGATCTGCTAACAGCTATAAAATGAGAGGGAAGAAAAGACAGAAAGATGCCACGGCTGGTGTGACACAGACAAGCTCTGTGTGTCTGTGCCCTGTGAGCAGATGTTTCCCAGAGCGAGGCAGCAGTGCTGGCCACCTGTCCCAGGGCAGATTCAGAGCCTCAGGCCAGCTGAAGAGCCATTATGTGGAGGAAAGGATTGAGTCAACACACAGAAAAATAATAGTGAATATTCCCCTTAAATTCCACAGCGGCTGGCAAAATGGGACAAAACAGAGAGGGATTTAAAAGACAAAGCTGTCTATAGAGGGATCTAATAATACATAAATGATGACCTTCCCTCCATTTCCCATAGTGACTTCCTAACTTCACTCTGCAAACTTTCCTGCCAACTGACCCAATTGTCTATATTGGTGCAATAATGAAGATCAGAATTTTAAACATAAATGAATTGCTATCTGTTTTGATCCCTAAACAAGGTAGGACACTGAAATGAAGAAATCGGAAAGTTTTAGAAACACATACCATAAAATTCCTGGCTTGAGTATTTCCTAAGGCCTTTTGCCAATTGCAAACCAAAACGAATGCATGCACAAACAAAAGACAGCCTTTACCTGCGATCAGAGGCTTAAGAGGCACAGACACAGGCTTTCCCTTCCCAATGGGAGCACTGACATAATCTAGGAAATCGGAGTGAGGGCTAGATGCGTACAGATTAGCGGCTTTACAGGTGTCTATGGTGGAGCCACCACCCACAGCAACGTAGGCATCAAAAGCTCCCTTTTTGGCAAACTCAATAGCTTCCATGAAACTGTGAGGAAGAAAAACGGAAACCATTGTCATAATTTTCAAACATAAACTGACATGCCACTAAGTAACTCTTGAGGCAAATTTTAAACCACAGTGGTATGTGTTGGCTTCCACTTAAAAAACAACAATGAAGAGGTACCTTCTATCGGTTGGTTCCACCCTCACATTATTATAAACCTTAAAGTTTATGCCATTCTTCACGAGAGAATCCATAACTATTTGTACGGGAGGGAGCTGGGAGAGGTTCTTGTCTGTCATCAAACAAACATTTTTAGCACCCATGTTTTGTAGGTCCTACAATAACAAAAATAATGTGTAAGTTGGGTTTAATTTCACTAGAAGTATAACAGACACTTCTGGTCAACTTAATATTAAACATTTTTATTTTAAATACATTTTTATTGATTTCAGAGAGGAAGGGAGAGGGAGAGAGATAGAACCATCAACGATGAGAGAGAATTATTGACTGGCTGCTTCCTGCACAGCCCCTATTGGGGATGGGGCCCGAAACCTGGGCATGTGCTCTGGCCGGGAATTGAACCCATGACCTCTTGGTTCACAGGTTGACATTCAACCTCTGAGCCACACTGGTCAGGAAATATTAAACACTTTAAAAAACAAAGGCCTGATTTCTTGTACATTTTCACTTGTTTTGGAAGATATGTAACCTTTACAGTAGACTCTAGAAATCTTAAATACTTGCCATTCCCACTTCCTTTGTAACTCCTGCTCCATATCTAATATTTGAAACAGCCATCTGGAAAAAAAAAAAGAAAAGATTTGGGGATGGGTGAGTTGGAGATTGGCCATTTCATTTCTAAAAGCCTGAAATGGCTGCTCATTGCCTATAAAATAAAGTATAAATTCTTTATATATACTTCCAGGTCACCCCATCTGGTCTCAGACTCATCATATTTCTTTAAGCACTGGAATTATATTTTCCCAAACATATCATGAACTCTCAATTGTTGCCTGCCTTTCCTTGTCTCTACAAATAAGCTACCTCTCAAATTTCTTCTTATTTTCCAATTTAAATGCAGATTCCTCATGTATTTCTCACCCCATACATTCATCCATCCAACCATTCATCTATCCAACTTTTTTTGCATGCATGTATCCATCCATCCACCCACCTACCCAGTCTTCCACCCACTCAAGGCTACTAAGTGCCTGCTGTACTCCAGGCATCGTTCTAGGCTCTGGTTATACAATTAGGAACAAGAAAAAGTAGCCCCATAATGTTTACAGCTAAGAGAAGAACTTTTATACTGATAGGATGGATGGGCCACTATTGGCCCAAAGACATGTTTTGTTTGATCCACATTATGTTTAGATTTCTTCTGTTTTAAATTGTCTCACAACTCTTAACAATCAGGGTAAACATGTCCAGTGTGACTGTCTGATCTCTCGTGAATAACTCCGCAGATGGCAGCAATGGGGTTGAGTGGAGGCTGCACCCTTCAGAGGTACCTGTGTTCCCAGAGAATTCAGCACTGTCCTCACCCAGCCTGCTTTTGGACTGTTAACCATCAGGCCACTAGAGACATTTAATTTATGAGTCCCGAACCAGGAGGAGACAGGGACTTAGACACGCAATTCTGTAATTACGGTGTGATAAAAATTCATCAGAATTCATTGTTCCTTTATTCTTGTGTCAAAAGATACATGGACCCCTTTGGGGACTATACTTACGAAGCTAAAGAAGATTTAACGTACAACATAGGGAAAGCAATAAGTTGCGTAGAACTGGGAATTTGTTCTATTTCAATGGCTGTAACAGAAGACAGTATCTAGACATTATTCATGTTATTAGAAGATTTATAGTCTGTTATTCTAACAGGGTCCTTTTCTAAGTAGGGCCAGATCAAATAGTGAGATTGGGGGACATTAATTAATAGCAGATTTCAAATGAGATAATGATGCATTAGCAAAATACTCTAGTTGTATTTTTTTTTTGGTAATCCATAAAAGAAAGAATAGACAGATTACTTTACCTCAAAGGCATAATCTGTTGTTTTTCCAGAAGGTGGAAGCCCAGGAGCTAGAAATGTAAAACTCAATATCAGAGTAGACCTCAAAAACAAGGCAAAATATTATTTGATGGTAAATTGATATTCTAGCAGCAAGCGCAAGCATCTTCCCTGAAGCCTTACCTAAAATACACTTTTTTGGTTTCATTGTTGCATGTAAAATTAAAATGAAAACCTGCATTTTAAGAGACTATAATGCTAACTTGATGCTGATTGTGTGAAAATAAAGTTACTTAAAATATTTTATCCATTGAGATTAAAATATAGTACTTTTGAAAACATGAGTAAAGTTCTTCTGGAAAAAAAATCTTCTGGACTCTAGAACTGGGTTATTGTTAGAGAACAACTCTGAGTAAATTCATTAATCAGAGTCTTGCTTACATTTCTTATAGCAACTGTGACAATTTGTTTCAATTAATATTTTTCCATGGAGGTTACTTATCACAGTAAGATATTTCTATTTCTCAAGCTTGTAAGTATAAAAGTTTTAGTTTTTTTCGTGAAATTTAATAAAAATTTTTACAAACTGATACTTCTTTGCAACAGTTGTAGTTAGAGAAAAATTTTTTTTTCTGTCATATTGAAACAACAAGAGGACACCACTAAATGAACTTTATCCTTGTTTTTATCTGCTTATTTTTAATCAGGACTGGTTAGTCATAAGATTGAAAAAAAGAAAAGAGACCACAATTAGACAACAATCTAACTCCAGTTTCCTGAATGAAAATCCAAAGTTCTTTGACCTCTATAGGTTTAAAAAAAAACAATCGATTACTTCTGTGATAAAAGATTGGGAAAACACATAAATTGGATCCTATTAAACCATGAAGTGAACTTCCCCTAAACTATTAATTTTATTCACCCAAACAGGAAATTCCTGAATCTTTGTTGAAACCCAGTAAGAATGGGATAAAACCGGCTGACGATGAAATTCTGCACATGTTCACGAGGGCCTGAGAGGCTGGGTGTGCTTTGGCTTGGTAGATGGCCGTTAGTGAATGGGAGGTCCCCTGGCTTGTCCTGAAGAGTGAGTGGTTCCATGGGCAGGCAAAGCACTTCATTTCTGTATCTGTTCTACTCCCAATGGGCTTCTCTGGGGATTGTGCTGAGGGTCCTGTTTGGTGAGGCCCCCTCCTTTTCATCCCTTGCATAACTGTTGAGATTTGACCTTTTCTTCAAAGAGGCGAAATCCGTGTTTGTGTCAATAATTCATGTGACACGCTGAGGACACGCAGAAGCAACAACGAGCTTCCTGCTGCTCCATGGACAATGGAGCTGGTGAGGATGAAGACGTTTGTGGGAGGTGAAAACTCTGGTCACTATTTTTAATTATTAAGAAATAGAATTCTACTTAGAAAATTAACATATGCAAGATTTTCCCTTCTGGGAAGCATCTTGGTCATTAGTCCCTTTCTTTTTTTGAGATGTATTAGAACCTTCCAAAGATTTCATCTTAATGAATTCCGTTTGATGCATTCAGACAATCTTAAGATCCTATCTGTGGCATCCTTTTTAGCTTTGGCAAATAATTCTATTTAAAACAGAAATACATTAAAAATAGCATTATATATATATATGCCAAACACATAATCTGTAGCACACATTCAGCTAACATCATATAATTAGAACTACATATTGCCATTTTCAAGTGAAAAGGCAGTCATTCTCATCAACTTCCTTCTAATATCCTTTGATTTTCTTGCTTTACCCTTTGCCCAAATGTATTGGAGTGCCAACTGTGGAAATGGAGAGTGTGGTTAGTTTAAAAACACAAAAATATATTATTACCTTGGGAGTAAGTATGAGAATGAGTTGGACACTGACATCTAGGAAAAAGAAAAGAAGAAAAATGTAAAGTAACCCAAAAGGCAAGAAGTCTCAAAGTAATTTATTCTGCAGCCTTAGTGTTAAAATGTTAGCAAAGTATTAGCTATTGGCAAACATTGTACATAGAAAAAAATAGACATCACTGTGGATGAAAAGTAGACTCAGAGTCCTTCATCTGAGGAGGAAGAAGGAGAAAGAAAAGGGTTGAACTGAGTGGTAGTCAAGATCTCAAAAACTGAGAATTGCAGTCAAAAACTACATGGGAGGCGAGTGTGAGCGCTACCATGAGTCAAGGCTGCCATCTGGTGGGCACCACTGAGCACACCAAGTACTATGGGTTTTCCTAGAGCAAGCAGGTCAAACTCAAAGGCTAACATGGGCCAAACAAACAAGGTCTAAAACCCCCAAAGCTTCAATTTTCATTGAAAAGTATAGTATAAAAACAAAAGAACAGGAGCAAAGATAAAATTAATGTTTTCTTCCTGACACTTGGCATCTCTTCTCTGCTACTATCTTTCCTCCTTTGGGGAAAATCTTGTTCGCAGTGATTGCTTTCAAAACTGACCCAAGGTGAGTGTCAGTAATTCTGGATCTGACAGGAGACTTATTTCCTTTCATCACTGTAAATAACTGCTCACACCGTGATATTGGCTGGGCCACAAAAATATTTGTTGTGGGCCACAAGTGGCCCAGGGGCCGGGAGTTTGACGTGCTTGTCTTAGAGCATCCCAGCTATAAGTCTGAGCCAGCAGCAGACTCCCGCAGGAGAAATGAAAGCAGGCAAGGCCAAGGTGAGCTTTATGCCCTCCCAGAAAAGAGAGGCAAAGGGGAAAAAATCAAACTCAAAGCTTTCTAATGCCCAGGATGATGGGAGCACATGCTTCCTCCCCACCCCTTCCCTTTTTATTTTATATTTTTCATGTTCTGAGGCTACCTCAATTGGTGCTTTGAATCCCATCTCCTCCTGCTTTCTGGGGGCCTCCATCAGCCCTGTATTTCCTAGTCCTTCCCCTCCCTTGGTCCTTGTCATATCATGGTTAAGAGTTTCATGCTTAGAACTCAACCTCCTTTCCCCTTGGCTTGCTCATTCTCTGGTTCTCTGCTCCTGACCTATATCTGCTGGCACCATTTCCTCGCCTTGCACCCCGCAATCTGCTGCTGTCTTCCAAAGTCCCAGCTTTCCTGTTGCATCCTCACTTCTCTGACCTCATCCTAGCACCTTGCTCTCCTAGCACTGAACACTGCGGGCCACCCCTCCCCTAGGTGGCTGAAGCCCTCTTCTTGGCTTCCAGACTCTCTGTTCACCTCTGACTATTCTGTCTCTGGCTTCTTTCCCACTCTGCCCATTGGTCAAAGGCTGGCTTCTATGCAGGGCTCACCCCTCACCTTTTATAACCAACTGTGCATCAAGGCTCCATGCGTTTCTCTAGCTACATCCATCCACTGCTTTGGGGACCTCTGCCACTCTCTGGTTCTAGTGTCCTCTCTCATCGGGGTTACTACGACATTCCTAACAGGCTTCTCTTCACTCGCTCTTCCTTTATTTACTACACTGTGGTCAGGGGCATATTTCCAAGGTTGCTGCTCCCTTCGACAGCTCCTCATGGCTCTTAGGATAAAGTTCAGATGTGGCCCTACCTCACTGGTCCTGCTAACCTCTCCAGCCTGGTCCCTCATCACCCTCCATCTCTGGGGTTGAGTTCTCAAAAAATGAACTTGGCTCTTTTCATTTAATCAGCGGCTCACACTCTCTCTTGCCTCCAGAACTTTGGTCTGTTATTTCCCCTGCCTGAAACTTACTTCCCCCACTCTTCTGGGTAACTAGTGTTCTTTCTCAGGTCAATTCAGATGCCAATTGCCCTGGGCAGAGGCCTCCTGGTGGATGCCCTCTCTCTGTAATCCCTGGTACTGCACCTCCCTTCCCATGAAAACTGTTACCACCCTGTTGTTGGTACCCTTTCCCTGGTTGCATTTGCCTTGAGGATGTAAATTTTGTGATAACAAGGCAGGAACTACCCCTTTTCATAACTTTATTTGCAGTGGCGAGCATAGTGCCCTTTTCTTCTATGCTTACAGTTTTCTAAGGCCTTGCTTTCCTACTCCAGGATGAATTCTCAACTTGCTCCTGAAAAATATATTCAAGTCCTGCTGGGGGGTCTTCATCTGGACATACCTGAGACAGGTCCAACCCAAATTGCCCAAGTCTTAGGTCATCATCTTCCTCCTAAAGAAAACCCTCTTTAGGACCTGTCAAGGTAAATGGCCCTCATGCTTACCCGATGCCCCAGCCGGAAACCTCAATTTCTTCCTTGTTTCACTAAAAGTAAACAAAAGCTTGCTGATTCTAACCAACTCCTCAGTATTTCTCATATCTACCCCTTGTACCAGCTGCCTCCCCTGGGTGTCTGAAGCCATCCCCTTTTAGCTGGAGCACTATGATTACCTCTAGTGTTTCTTCCCCACTCTGTACCGCCACCAGAAGCTCTCATAGAATTCCAATTAGGCCACACTCCTTTGCACACAAGCACTCTGTTCTACATGACACTGGTTCTACATGACATAAAAAGTTCTATGCTGACACAGGTTTAGAATAGAGAATTTAAATACAGCTAACCCCCTGCGCTTTGCAGGACTTCTCAGATGGCCTCAGCTGTGGGTGCAGCCATCTTTGTGCTGGTCCATATTAGTATATTCCCTCTTTCTTTTTCTTCTTCTTTAAAAAAAAAATCTCTCTCTCTCTCTCTCTCTCTCTCTCTCTCTCTCTCTCTATATATATATATATATATATATATATATATTATTGTTTTTTTTTTACAGAGAAGAAGGGAGAGAGATAGAGTTAGAAACATACACCCCCCACTTGGAATGTGCCCACAACCAAGGTACATGCCCTTGCCCGGAATCGAACCTGGGACCTTTCAGTCATAAGGCTGATGCTCTATCCACTGAGCCAAACTGGTTTCGGCAGAGCCCCTTCATGTGCAGACATACATCCTGACTCTACAGGAGAGCTATGTAGCCGTGAGCAGTTTCCCAATCTACTTGGTCATGTACTTTTTTCATGGAGCATTTCAAGGTGCAGCTTTACAGTGAGAATTATTGCTTCCATAACTTTCCATTATCCAAATGACACAATTCCAACTCCTTAGCAGAGGATGCAAACAAGGACTGTGAAGCCAGAATATTTGAGTTCATATGATGGCTGTGCCATTCACTTAGCTGTGTGACACTGTGCAAACTCCTTTTCTCCATGTCTTTATTGCTCTACCTGTAATCTGAGGATACTAGAAGCACAGCGTGCAAAATCATGCAGCCCCGCCTATCCATGCCAGTCTATGGTCATTACGGCGTTAGGTCCACAGGCCTTTTATAATATAAACGAGTGACCTGATTCATGAAATTCGTGCACATTAAAAGGGGATTCATTAGGGGAAATAATTTAATATTGCTATTTGCCCTTTCTCTATAATAGAAGTATCAGAGATGAAAGAAAATCAGTAAAATGTATATGAAAACCTTCCTCCTGTCAGAGTCTGGGGCTCACCATGGGACCCAAAATCAAGTCCCCACTCACCCACATGCACCTCAAAATCATATGAGACCCAGACAAGGCCACCCTTCCCCTCACCACCACTCCCATTGGGCTAGATCCAGATCTGGCCAGTCCCAACCTTGTCAAGCCCTGCCAGGCAGGGGGCATAGCCTCAGGTCCCCTGGCCCAGAGCCAGGATGGGGGTGGCATGGCCTGAGGTCCCCCAGCCCCCACTGTGGTAGGGGGTGTGCCTTGAGGTCCTCCATCAAGCCCTGCCAGGTGGGGGACACAGCCTGAGATCCCCTGTCAAGCTCTGCTGGGTGGGGAGCAAGGCCTGAGGCCCCCTGGTCTGGTGCTACCGCGGGGGAAACAGCCTGAGGACCCCTAGCCCAGCACTAGCATGGGAAGTGTACCTTGAAGTACCCATCAAGCCCTGCTTGACCTCAGGTCCACTGGCCTGGCACTGAGGGGGATGCAGCCTGATGCCAGGATGTGGGGGCATGGCCTGAGGTTCCCAGTCAATCCCTGCTGGGTGGGGGATGCAGCCTGAGGTCCCCTGTCAAGCCCCACGGGGGCAGGGGAGGGCGAGGGGGTAGCCTCAGGTCCCTGCTGATTGCTCCTTAAGGCTCCTTATGGGAACTTGGCCTCAGCTGTGGGTGCAGCCATCTTTGTGCTGGTCCATATTAGCATATTCCCTCTTTATTAGACAGGATAATACATCATTGCATAGGGTTGTTGTAGGATTAGAGTTACTATTAATAATATGTATAAAATGTGCAGAACAGTGCCTGGCACATGGTAAGTGCCCAATCAATTCAATTTTCTACTCATGGTCTTTTACCATCCTCACTTCTCCCTCGTGCCCACCTGCCTTAGCTGGTCTCAACGTCCAGTGCTCCAACTGCAGTCTCCCCATCTTCTCCATCCTCACTTCCTCCTATGAAGGGGGGGTCTAGATTTTCTACATTTCTTGTCCCTGATGCTGCTCTCCTTTTACCTGAAATTCCTCTTTAGTCCCCATCCCTCTTTATTCATCCCCACCTCTTTGCTTTAAAATTTCCTTGTTTTCCCTGGCCCACTCTTGCACTTGCACATTCAACAAGTATTTTACCAGGTGGCTGCTATGCACCTGACATTCCCTTAATGGAGAGAGTCAGGCATGTCGTGGCTCTTAACGTACTGGCATCAAGTCCATCTCTCTCTTCTATACCATATCGGCTGCATTCCACACAGGCCCCTTTTACAATCCCCGTCCCTTCATCCAATATCCTATTAGACTTTAACCTGCTCCAGAATCTTCCATCTCTGCATCCCCAGCTCCTACAACAATGTTTGGCACATCACCTGCACCGGGTATAAATGTATTGATTGGATCCAAGCATTTGTCTCGGTCACTGTGCCAAGCCCTCCACCCCTCCACTGCCTGGCACGACGCGGGACCAGGCGCTGTTGTCATTGGTCTTAGTTTCCTTATGGGCACAAAGACCACGGTGAAGCCTGCCTCCCGGCGGGCGCGGGGTGCGGAGGCGAGGCACCATCGGACCCCGCAGTCCCACCCGACGCACCGCGGGCGCTCGCTGCGGGGGCCCCTTCCCCAAAGTAACCCGAGGATCAATGCGCAGGACGTGGCGGATCGCACCCAGGGGGCTGTGTGGGCGCGGCGGCACCCTCGGGTCCCTGCCCGCCCAACGGCCCCGCACTCACGCCGCGAGCCGCAGCCGCTCCAGGAGGTGCGCTACCCGCGCGCGGGCCGCGGCCATGGCTGCGCGATCTGTCCCCGTGGCCCCGCCCCCCCGCGGGCCAATCACCGCCGCGCCCTCCTCCCGCCCGCCCTCAGCGGGTCAGACCCCGTGGTTGGCACCGAGGGTGGCTCAGGGCCGCTTTCCCACGAGTCAAACCCTCGAGCGCTCCAACTGCGGTCTCCCCATCCACCTTGGAAATTGCCATAGAGGGAACTGCTCCGTAGGGGCTCGGATACCTGAGTCTCTACTTCAAACCCTCTTTCATATGTGGGGAAAGGGAAAAACAAGGCTATGCTTCTCCCAGTAATTTCTTTAAAATGCTACACTTGAGTTCTTATTTTCAGAAAAAAATTAACACACTCCTTTTAGCCCTAGCAGGTGTTGCCCAGTGGATAGAGCACTGGCCTGCAGCTAGAAGGGTCCCGGGTTCCATCAGGTAAAGGGCACATAGCTCGGTGGCAGGCTCCTCCTAGCCCAGGCCCTGGTGGAGGCGTGCAGGAGGCAACTAATTGATTCGTCTTTCCCTCTCTCTAAGGAAAATAAACAAACATCCTCGGGTGAGGATTAAAGAGTAAATGCTCCCTGAATGGCTTTAGGGATTCCATTACCTGGTATACCCTGGGAGGGCTTAGCAGCCCCAAGTGTACCATGTCCAAGTGGGAAAGTTGATCAATGATCAACTTGGAAAAGTTCAACTTTTAACTTAATCAGAAAGTTTCCTAAGTAATGACTTAACAAGTAAGTGCCTTAAGTAAACCTGTATAAAATCTATTTTCTTTCATAGCATTTTCTAAAGTAACCTTATAAAAATGAGACAACACTGAAAAAAAATCCCAATTTTAATTTCCTATCAATTGTCAGGCCAAACAGTAGAGTGTAATGGCTCTTAACTCTGTAATAGCAGCAAAAAAAGACCCTCTGGATTTGAGATCTATTAGGAATACTTTTCAGGAGATATTTATTAGGGAGAATAAACAAGAATGGCAATAAAATTTCAACACCTAAACAAACCAGCTCCAGGCCAATTTGACAAAAAGAATTTTGTAGGCTGTCTTCCCAAAACAGCTCCTATTTGAAGCTTTAAAAAAATTGGGGACATAAATGTTGAGAAAGATTTAAGTATTTTCTGGATTATTGACAATTACCACCGTTATTCAGTTATACCCAAACTTACCATTTACAGCAAGCAAATCAATATGCTGCGTTGAAAAGCAGGAAATCTTTTTTCAGAAAAACCAATTATACTATACCTTTAATATTGAATCTGATACTAATTTTTTTTTTTTTTTTAAACAGTGGTGCTGCTAAAATCACAAGTTTGCTGCTTTTTTAGAAAGTAAAGGAAAAGAATATGTGCCAGATATCCAGGTCACTGGCTTTACTTAACAACAGCCAAACAGTGAAAAGCAACATTAGATACAGACACTCTTTTATTAAATAACTTCACAACAATTACTTTTAAGGTCAGTTCTGAAATCTTTCTGTGTGCTCCCAGCTACTTTGATACACAAGCTTGTTGCAAAAATAAAGCTGGTCATAAAATTTGGCTCTGAAATATGAACTGTCCATCATACCACATCCAACGTTAATAATAATAATAAAAAAAATACATCTTTTAAATCTCCAGCCAAAGACATGGTTACTGGAAAAACATTAATTTGTAAAGTCCAACATAGTATCTTGAGGGGAGGGCAATCCTATCCCTTCAACCTCAATGGAGGCGGTGGCCACCTTCTGCATCCCCTACAGGACTTGGGCCTTAACAGTTAGAGCAGTCCTTGGTTTACAGGTAGCGGGTCAGAGGGTCAACTTTACTTCCTCCTCCTCCCTCCTTGGTGTTGCCCTCCTTTCCTCTTGCCACCCATGCCGGGCGGCCCGGAATTCATCTTGCCTCCAAAGCCTCCTTTCCTCTTACCCCCCTGGTTGGGCGGACCCCCTTTCCTTCTGCCCCCAGGACCCTGCCGGCCCCCCTTTCTCTTGCCCTTTTGGCTCGTTTTTCTCCTCTTGGCCGCCTCCTCCTGGTCTTCCTCCCTCATCTGCTTATTGGTGGCCCTCGTCACGTCCAGCTGAGGCTTTTTGCTGTTCATGACTCGCAGCATCTCCAACTGGCTCTTCTTCTCCGCTGCGAAGTCCCCGAAGAGAGGCTGGAACTTCCTCTTCTTGCCGGAGCCCCGGGGGGCCTTCTCCTTGGGCAGGCGCTCCTGAAAGCGCCCCACGGACGCGGTGGAGACCTTGGCCACTTGCAGGGCGCGGCCCAGCTCCTGCTTGCTCTGGTGTCCCGTGGGGTGCATGCCGGCCGAGCTGGGGAGCCGCATCTTGTGCGCGCGGGCCAAGTTGCGCAGCCGGTTCAGCTCGTTCTTGGCCACCCGTTCCTTCTTGGCCTGAATGCGCTTGGCGAACTGGTCCTCCAAGGGGTCGGCACTGCCGGGCACCTCGATCAGCCACTCCTTGGTGTCGTCGCGGGCGCGCTGGTAGCCCCAGCGGCGTCGCCACTGGCCGCTGACCTCGTCCCACACCAGGTTGGTCTTCTTTTTGGGACGGATGCCCTTGAGGCGCGCGAACTGCTGCCAGCGCGTCAGCGGCCGCGGCCGGGGCACCGGCTTCTCGCGCGGCAGGCGAGTGGTGGGCTCCGGCAACCGCGCCACCAGCGCCTCCTCGACGCGCTCCGTGGGCAACTGCCACAGCTGGTTGATGAGCAGCTGCGTGTTGTCCCGCGCCAAGGCCCGCAGTTCGGCCTCCGGGTTGGGCTCCCCGTGCCGCAGGCCCGAGGGAGGATTCCGGTCGGAGGCCAGCAGGTTACCGAGGTCGAACTCCAGCTCCAGCTCCTTGTGCACCGTGATGCGCTGCAACTTGTCGGCTTCGTCACGCTCCGCCTTGGCCAGCAGCTCCTCCACGCTCTGGCCCTCCATGGTCCCCGGCTCCGCTCACCAGCTCCGGTAAAACAAGTCAAATAACTCCTTTCCGCCAGCGCCGGCTCAAGCCGGTGCAACACATCCACGTGCAGAGAGCCCAGACACGCTCACCCCGGAAGAGAAAGCTTCTACTTCCGGAGCAACCGGAAGTGGCCCATAATCCGGGCAACTGGAGGCGAGGCCGGCAGAGGGCGGTGTTGGCGAGCAGATGGGATTCGACGCGGCCCTTTTGGCTCGTGCCCGGATGGGGCGGAGCTGGCGCGAGAACCCGGACTACAAATTCCAGGGTCCAGCGGGGACTGCGGCTCCCGCGGAGGCGGCGGCCGTGGCGGCGGCGCAGGTGGGCGGAGCTATGGGCCCGCGGAGTGTGGGGGTTCCCGAGCGGTTCTGTCACGATGTCGGTGAAAATGTGTTCTCAAGATGCTTGGCCTGAGTCAGCCCTTTTTGAGGCTGGACAGATTCTGTGTCACCAGAACCCTGGCCCCTTGGTGGGGTAAGGGCGGAGAAGGACACTCCCCACAGGCACACGGAGCTCAGTGCGGACTGGGTGCGCCTGGGGCGCCCGCGGGGCTGACGGACCCCGGAGCGTGGGAACCCACCCACCCGCTGGCCGAGCCCGCAGCTCCGAGTCTGGGCTGCGTGCGCGCCCGGCTGGTGCGGAAGAGCGCCTGGTTCCAGTCCTGACTGTGCCACTGTGTGACTTTTCAGCTTTAACTTCTCTGGGCCTATTTAAAATATATTTTTTATTGATTTCAGAGGTGAAGGGGGGTGGGGGGGGAGGGGAAGAAACATCAATGATGAGAGAGCACCGTTGATCGGCTGCCTCCCCCACACCCCACACTGGGGATGGAACCCACAACCCCGGAAGGTGACCTCCTGGTTCATGGGTCCATACTCAACCATTGAACCACACCAGTCTATTTTAAAATCTGTAATCTTAAAAAAAAAACACAAAAAAAACAACACAACAACAACAACAAAAAAACCTCAACGTTGTAATCTTCTAGGACTAGTATTATATAAAGATAAATTGAGTTAATATGCTTCCAAGGGAGGTAAAGCTAGGTCCTGGAACTTGTAAGTGCCCAATAAATGTTAGCTGCATACCAGTTATTATTTAATTTTCATCAAGACTCTGAGAGCTAAGCTGAAGAGGCAGTTTTACACGGTGATTAAACACTAGGATCTAGAATCAGAACTAGGGTTACTGTAACCACCTTGGACAGGTTGTTTAACTTAAGTCCTACTCATAAGTTGATGAATATGAAACAGTTTCTTGTACATGGTAAGCACTCGGTAAGTCTTAGCTGTTGTTATTCACCATATTCCTCTGATGACAAAGGAAGGCTCAAGGAGGTAAAATGACTTGTCTAAAGTTGTACAGGAAGCATGTCAAACTCAAAGGCTAACATGGGCCAAATAAGGTTTACGTTTATGCGGGCCGCAAAAAACCAAAAGCTTCAATTTTCATAGAAACGTAGGTTTATTTCGATAGAGACATGCTGAATACAAAGGGCTGAAATAAATGAGTAATCGTTAAAAGAACATTTTAATAAAAAAATATTTTTTCTTGAACATTCACTTAGCAGACACTGAATAACTGCACAAATTATTAAGTATAATGCAAATAAAACCCATTTTTTCTTGTTCACTGAAAGGGAAATATTGCCTGTTGCACACACCAAACAAGTTCAAGACTAATGACATGGCAATTGGCTGCTAAAATATTTGCTGCTAAAATATTTGCTGCTATATTAGTGGAGAGAAATGGGGAGCCTGCTTGCAAGGCACATAAGGGAAATGAATGCAACATGATAGTAATCAGTCATTATCAAACATTGTAGTTTGTTATTAATAACTAGAGGCTCTGTGCATGAAATTCATGCATGGGTAGGATGCCTAGGCCTGGCCAGCAATCAGGGTCAATCAGGTTCCCCACCTTCTGGCCTCCCTGCCTCCTCCTTCCCTTGCTCCCTCAGAGCCCTAATGACACTGGTCACCGCCATGTTCCACACCACACCCTGGTGGTCAGTGCACGTCATAGCCAGTGATCAAACTCCTGAATTCCTGGTCTCTCAGTTGAACTCCTGAGGGGACAATTTGCATATTAGCCTTTTATTTTATAGGATTGTGT